TTTGGCTTATATTTGGTCTCTAAAAAAGACTACTAGAAATGCAGAGTATGAAACTTAGTGATTTTTTTAATGAGAGATGTGAATAACAAATCAGATCAGCTAAATTGTCTTTAATAGCTGTTTCCTTGTATTACTTCCCCTATTAAAAATAAGAAGAAGGCCCTCCCTGGTGGCGCAGCGGGTTAAAGCACAGCACTGAGAATCTGAAGCCACTTCCGCATGAGTTCGATTCCCGCCTGCCGCCTGCCCCGGAGGAGACCACATGGCGAGCCAGACCTCTCCTGACCCGCCCGCTGCTCCCCTCAGCAGTGTACTTCGTCAATCTGCCTGTTCTGCTCCCCACTCTGTCTCTGGTGAAGCCTCTCACCGTCCCTGAGCCTCTGGCCTGTACCCCAGTTCTGTATGAATAAATAAATAAATCTTTAAAAAAAAAAAAATAAGAAGAAAAGACCTGAAGATGGAATAAAATGACAATCGATTTCCACTGAGGAAAGATGGGTCAGACACTTAGGATGGGTCTTTTAGACCTGTCCCAAGCTATTGAACATTTTCTAAGGGGGAACTTCTGTTCCCTTTCTGCTTTTCTAGGTCATGCTGGGATTTTCTAGAAGAAAAATTCATGTCTTTACCAAACTTTAGTTCCTCATGTGGAGTACATTAAATGTGGATGCTGGGCATCCCAGGTAGTTGGCAGCCAAAGGTGAAAGAGGCAAATGAGACTGGGTTTCAGAGTCTAGCTGAGATCATGTGACTGTGCTTGCCCACACATATGCCATAGTGTTCCTTTAACTTGGTGAATTAGCATATTAGCAAACAGAGTCTCCAGATTACTCTGTTCTTCCTCAGTTCCCTTTCTTCCTGTTGTTGCTGGTAGCCTATGAAGGCTATTGTTAGATGTGGCTGTTGTTAGATATCCAGAGCTGGTGGGATAAAGGAATTGAGGAGAGATGGCCCTTGTGTGGCAGAATCCAGTGCTGTGTGACAGTATTGCAGCATGGCAGCTGGATTTTGTGTTCTTTCTTTTAGAACGTATCCCAACAATGGTTCCCATTGTTTGCATCAGTATTGGACTTCAGGCTTCAGTGCTTAGAGGTGATTCTATTGGATTTTGCTTTAATTAAGAAAAAAAGTCATTAGGAAAGCAGATTTCCCTTTGCAATTCCTAATTAACTTACTGGCAAATTTGTTTTCAGCTTATGATCCACTCATGGTTTGCTTCAGATTTTGGTCAAATGTTAGCTCAAGGTTTTCATAAAAATAATCTAGGTTTTTAAGTTACCATCACAGGATTTTCTTTAATCTATTGTAATTGACTGGATTCTTAATGTTCATTTCATAAAACACAAAGTTTGTAGCATCAGTAATCAAAAGTGATCGCATTTATATGATTAGTCAGCTGAAGCAGATCTTTGATATGCTGCACAGAAATTCACTTATTATCCTTTTCTTGGGGGGAAGGGATTAGCAAAACAAAAGCAACCAGAAGCTCCAAGCTGTTGGTATCCAAGCCGGTGTAATTCTGATTCTTTTTTTTTTTTTAAGATTTATTTATGCATACATAACTGGGGTACAGGCCATAGGTGCAGGGGCGGTGAGAGGATTCCCCAGAGACAGAGTGGGGAGCAGAACAGGCAGATCGAGGAAGCACACTGCCGAGGGGAGCAGCGGGCAGGTCCAGATAGGTCTGCCGCACCATGTGGATCGCCTCCCGGGTCCCAGATCAAACTCGAACTAAAGCGGCTGTGGCTACCTTGCAGTGCTGCGTCCTTACCCGTTGCGCCACCAGGGAGGGCCAGTAATTCTGATTCTTAACCCTCTGGAACACATATTTTATTTATTCAGTATCTCTACATCTGTTTTAGTAAAAATCATTTGATATCAAAAGAAATAGAACCCTCTAATCAAAAGATAGAGTGAAATCAAAAAGTGTAATAAACCTAGTGTAATGAATCTAATCTTAACCTTTCTTTCTGACTAATTCATGTGGACACAAGGAAATCATTTCAGATCACCCCAGGATTAAAACCTACACAACTACAATAAAAACAAACTTTAACCTACTTTTAGCCTGCTGGTTTTGTGGTCACAGTACATGTCTAAGAGAAAGATGAGTAATAAAAGAAGGTTAAGAAGAAGGTAAGGAATGAAAAGATGGAAGGGGAGAGAAAAAAAAAGACAGCCACAGGCTAAGACCTGCACAAAGAGCACCCCAGGAATTCTCTCATAGTCACCCCATTCTATGTAAAATGAAACTCCAGGTTGTTCTGATACTGTTAAGTTTCCTGAAAAAATCAGAGATTTTCTAATTTTTAAATATTGAATTTAATTCCTTTATCAAGTAAAACCTTTGATGCCCATAATATAAAAACAAAGACTGTAGTATTTCACCAACATAAATTTACCTTGTAAGATACATTTAGATCATTTCCTTAGTATAAAATTAATTGGTGAAGACAAGACTACTTTAAATAAATATGAACATTTGAAATTCAAAGATATAGATGACACTTCTTTTCATCAACTACCACATCTGATTTCCTTGTTTTCAGTGTGCATTTTCTGAAAAGTCTTGTTTCATATTGGAGGCAAGTCATGTCTGATTTTTAAAACTTCTGGAGCTATATAAACAGAATTATAAGTAGCTTTAATATCTGGAAGTGGAAAAGTTGGTAAATTTGAGACTAAAGACTAATCACTAACAATATATTGCAAACATAGATGTCATCAGTTCTAAGACAAATGAGCACTCTCATATTGACACACTCACAGTGGCTGCCAACACTTGTAACGGGGTAGGCAGTGTGCCTGCTGCCGTGTAACACAAAGTAGTTCATGCCCAGAACAGGCCCTGTATGGTCTACCTGATCCTTTTCTGGCACTGAAGTTAAATTTCCATATTCCAGTTATAGTAGTTTGTTGGCTTATAAGTGTATATCTAAAATTTAAAGAATACAGAGCTATGTTTTTGCAAATGAATGATGCCTCTGCATTTTCAAACACATGTGTAGGATAGCAGGAGACACAGAATCCTGAGGTCAGCATCTAAAAACTTAATTTGGCAGCATAAGTGAACATATCGTGGGAACATTCTATTCATCTGTATGGTCAGATTTTGCTTTTAGTTGCTTTATATATGTCTGATTCAAATGTTTGGGATGGTGAGCATTTCTTTAGAATTCTAGTGTCCCAATCTCACCTGCCCTGGCATCCCTTGCCAAATTGCCTTTGTTCTAAGGAATTATTCTGGGGATAGGAATTGAACCTGCATTTCCTGAAATTGATGATGACTTTAGTTTTTGTGTGGTCCTCTGTCTCACAGTTTTGTGTAACAAATTTACGTATTTCATTAGACTATTCCCAACTAGTTCTCAGGATAAAGTCGTAATGCTTTACTTTGGTTTTTCCCAAACTATTGTCTCAAACATTGTACCCAATTTTTAGCATTTAAAATACTTCTTCTTAACTCTTCTTATCAAAATCTTCATGATAAAGATCTCAGAAATCATAATATTTGATGTGTGAATGTGTGTGTGTGTGTATATATATATCAAATGATTTGTACAATATGCATACAATATATCAAATGATTTGTACAATATGCATACAATATGTACGCAATATACACTGCACACACATATAAATCACATAAAAGGGTATTTAATGACATGGGAAGATTTCCCCCATAATATCAAGTGGAAAGGCAAATTGGAAAATATTTTGATTCTGGGACTTTTCTTTCCGTCAAGAGAAAAATATATAGAATATAGAAAAAAATCCTGAAATGTTCAAACTCAAAAATGTACTGTTTGAAGGAAATGAGATTTTGCTTACTGGTATTTAATGTATGTGTCACGGACCTACTTTACTTTTGTTACATGGCATAAGTTAATAAAGTGTATCTTTAAGTTGTAAGATAACTTATCCCATCCTTAAAAAAAATTGAAATATCTGAACTGAAAACTTATTCAAGCTGTTTTCACAATTAATTACTCTCTAATATCTGGGCATTTTAAAGAATGTTTAACCAGTGTGAGAGGCACTGAGATTGAAGGTAATCCTAATGATCAACTCAGCATATTTTGATGTCCTTTCTGTCAGACTGTGGAACTTTGTTTTGAAGATCATCAGACTAGCCATCTCGTCATGTTTACAGTGATACCTCCTTTTTTTAAATAAAGATTTCATTGTTTATTTTGTAGAACTAGGGTGTAGGCCAGAGGTGCTGGAGGGGTGAGAGCACTCACCAGAGACAGAGTAGGGAGCACTCTGGGTTTACTGAAATATACTGCTAAGGGGAGTGGAGAGATCTACTGTGTCATATGTGGGTTAGTTCCCTGGCCTGGGCTCAAACTCAGGCTGTGTAATAGTGCTGAGACTTAACCCATACACATCAGGGAGGCCCCTGCAGGGATAGTTCTTAGCATGTCTATGGGTTAGATCATACCTAAGATATTCACTACCAAAACAAAAGTTAAGATTTAGCACATTCCAGGCCTAGGTGACTTTTTTTTTTTACATTCTCTTCAATAGGAAAAAGGCATGCAATTCTGCCATGTCACAGGTGTGAATAGCACATTCACAAAGAATCTTAACTTTTCTAGTGTAGATATCACATAAAGGACCTTTCTGCTCGGTTGCTCTGCAGTCCTGCTAGCTTGCACTGTGGTTTATTTCTACATTCATATCCAAAGCGGATCTTTTTGTTAGTCATAGATAATTTTTTTAAAAGTGAATTAGGCCATTTTCCTTGAAACTTCAAATTTAGCAGGAAGTAGAATTAAGTAGTAGAAATTAATAAATGTATTTGGAGATAGAAAAATAAGAATTGTTCGGTTACACAGCAGACGGTAAGAGGGCAGAAGGATGGATTGAAGAAAATTATCAAGCATGCATGTTGTTTTTAAGTGATACTTGAGACTGGGATGTGAAACAGCTGTGTTGTTGGTGTTTTTTTTTTCTTGTGCCAACTTTCCTTATTTGATTGATTTCCTCTCTGACAGCCCACTGTGCTGATAAATGTGTCCATGGTCGCTGCATTGCTCCAAACACCTGTCAGTGTGAGCCTGGCTGGGGTGGGATCAACTGCTCCAGTGGTAAGTTTCCACCTGCTGTTGTCTGTCTTGGGATGTGTTCGCTCTATGGGCCCCCTTGTCTGCAGTTTTCCCTGGGTCGTCGGTTTCCTTCTTCATTCCTATGCAGAACACAATGAGGATTCCAAATCCAACACATGAATAAAAGTTCTCTTAAAACTGTACACACATTTAAGGCAGACCTGTTGTTAATTGTGCATAAAGAAAGGTACGAGGAAGGAAGGAGATTTCAAGAGTTAGAGGCTGATTCTTCTGTTCCTATGGATGTCTTTTCCAAAGTAGGCTCTAGAATTTCAATTTCTTTCTTCAGAAAGGCAGTTGTGTTCGTAACATAGCTATCATATTGTAACTTTTGTTTTATTGATTGATCTAAGATATTTTTCTGGCCACTAAAATTTACTACTTGTTAGTATTAACTCAGAAGTAAAATAGATATTTTAAATGCTTAACTTTATTTATTGCTGAATTCTGAAATGTAAATAATGAGTTCTTGACCAAAGAACTTTAGGTAGAAATATTAGTAATAAATGAAAATCACAAACATTTTGGTGTTAAATAGAATCACAACATATGAATTGTGCCCATTATGTTAGGATTGTAATTCTAAAATGATAACTTCTTGAACTGTAAGCATGTTATACTTAAAATCCTTTGTCCATTATAATGAGAATTAAATGATGGAATGTCATGTAAATACAGTTGCTTTTTGAAATTTCACAGTTAAAACTTAAGTTTTCTGGTTAACATGTTGTTGGGCATGTAATTGTGTGCACTTCCTGTTCCTTTATACTTCTTTTTGTTTTGAAAAATGTTAATGGGAACTGGAGTGCAACTAAAATGTAATGCATAAAACATTATATTTAGAGAAAGCAAATAATAGTTTAAAAAAATTAGCAGGCTGCTATGACAGTACAAATTAGCCCTCATTGCTACAAAATAGTTTTTTGAAACTGGTCTGAAAAGCCTTTAAATTGTCCAGATAATCTGATTTTAAGAATTTTTACTTGCTCACATTTGAAATTGGGCAGATTACTCTTTATCTTCTTAGGACTTCTTGTTTCAGACTTGTGATCTCTTGGCTCTCCCTAAAACAGCATCTCCAGGGGGAGTCTTGTGCTGTCTGTGGACAGAACATTCTGTGTGAAAGAGCCTTTTTATTGTACTTAAACAGCAAGTGTGTGTGTGTTTGTGTGTGTGTGGGAGTGTGTGTGTGTGTCTTTCTGCCTCTGACAGGCTTCCAATTCCAATGGATAACTGTCTTGCAGGGTTTTGTTTTGTTTCTGTTGGAGTTCAGGAGGAGAGTGGACATTTTTGTTCACACGCCGTTGAGGCAAAATGTTTGGGATGTGGGATTTGGCTCATGTCCATTTTTCTGGCCGACTGACCTCAAATACGAAAATACGACGCTGCTTTCATTAACTTTTCCAGCTTAACATCACTTGTGCCTACACATTTTGAAGAAAAATAACATTATTATATAAACTAGTGGGGCAGAAAAGGGTGAATGTATTCTTCATTTGAAAAATGAGATTTGTTACTAATCCCAGGCAGGAATGCTATGAAATAATTTCAAGTTGTGTTCACACATTGTCTCATAAGAGCTGCAGCCTACCTAAAGAGAGCAGAGTTTGAAGGGTGCTTTTGTAAGGAAAACAGAAATCTACGAGGGCTTTAGATTCAAATTCTCTAGAACTGATTTAGACCTAGAAAATAAACTGTTGGTTTTTTTTTTTTTTTCGGAATTTTTCTGATTTTTGAATAGAGCTTCTAGATTTTTGAGAACACATGTTCTTTTAGTCCTGGAAGATAGATATTGAGACTACTTTTGATTTAGTCTCTACAATTCATGTTTTGCAATGAACAAAAGCATAAATAAATGTGACAGATATCTAAAATTTTTAAAGATATTTGAGGAAAACATTTTGGACACATATTTTAAGCATTTAAGAAAATGCTATTCTGAGCTGGAGCACTAGGTTTTATCCGTGGTAGGTTTCCCTATTACTCACTAGGTGACACATACTTTAATTACTCTTAAACAGATAATTCTTGAAACAAAATGCATGCTCTAGTAATCCACTAAGTGGCAGAGTAACGATAGCCTGATTTCTAAGTGTTTTATTTCTGTGTGCCCTCCTCTCTGGCTATTGTTATAAGTATGCTTGGTGATGCAGGTTTGGTGGTTAGATTAGTTTCTTTTATTAATCAGGACCCAAAGTGGAGATATAAACCACAATAATTTGTTTGAATAAACCTTTATTTTTGGAACAAATTTAGATTTACAAAAAAATCTTAAGAGAGCCAACTGTTATCATGTACTAGCCTCTAGTCTCCCCCTCTTGTAACACCTCAAAATACTTTTAGTTTCTCAAAACTGAGAACCTGATATTAGTATATTACTATTAAACAAACACTAAAATTTATTTGATTTTTAATTGTTTTTCCGTTAATCCCTTTCTGTTCCAGGGACTAATCTAGGGCAACACATTGCATTTCATTGTCAAGTCCCTCCAGGCTCCTCTTGTCTGTGTTTTCAGTCTTTGTCTTTCACAACCTTCACAGTCCCGAGGAGCGCTGGCCAATATCCTGGAGACTGCCCCCCAGTCTGTAGTTGTCTGGTGTTTATTTCATGATTAGAGTTGTGGGTTTTCAAAAGAATACCATTGAGCTGAACTATGCTTCTCAGCACATCATTTCAAGAGACATCTCGCTAGTCACATGACATCAGTGATGATGTCATTACTTGGTTAACCTTTATCGCTAGATGATGTGTAGTGCCTGCCAGGTTCCTCCACATTAAGTTACTATTTTTTTCCTTTTCTTACTCTACCATTTGGAAGTAAGTCACTAAGGCTACCATTCCCTCAAGGGTAAAGGCTAGGAATTAAGCTCCATTGTTTTGGGGGTGGGGAGTGGGTAGGAGGAGCAGTGTATGTTTAAATATTACTGGAACTTTTCTGTAAGGAAGATGTATTTCTTCTTCCCTATTTTTTTAATAATTCATTTATAATACCATGGTCTCCTGTATATTTATGTGACATTTTGGGTTAAAAGCCACTAACATTGTTTATTTTGTTCAAATTGTTTCAGCTTCGGTTATTGGGATTTTCAGGGTTTGGTGATTGAGAGTTTCTGTCTCTTTTTGACATGCCCTCACTCTTAGGGGTTTTGCTTTTTTTCCTTTCAGCACTGCTTACTTTCTTTTTAAAATATAATGGTACACACACACATTACATCATTCTTCATTTTGTGTATTTTTTCATCTCAGTTATAATCCCCATGGATTTCCCACCACCAATTCACTCATGTGAGCACTGCTTACTTTCAACAGCCTACAGTCTAAACTCATTGAGTATTTTTTCCTGCCTCAGTCCCAGAATGACCCACTGGAGACTGGCATTAGAAATTTAGATCTGCATGAAAGATAATGCTCATTGCTACTTGGACACATAGTAACTGAAACAAAGAATATTTATTTAAAAGAAGTGTTAACTCTAAAAGAAGTATTATAAGAAGTAATGAGGAATTGGTTAGCAATAAGTAAATATTACTCAACATAATATAGGGTAGCTGATACAAGAAAGAGCCATTCCTCTGGGCTGCTGTAGGATGCCAAAGAGGCAGCCCATTGGCAGTGTGATCCAGATCCTATTTGAAGGGCTCAGTCCCAGAATTTGCTAGAAATATGCTTTTTGGAACCCCCTGAAATTTGCCTTAATAGGGTGCTTGGGGAAACTGTTCATGGAGGAGTGTCTCAGCGAAGCACATTGCCACAAAAAGCCCCAGGTGGGTAGCAAGGGAAGTTCTGACTGATGGAGCTTACTAGCCAGAATGCAGTGTAGGAGCTGGTGCTGGAGGAGCTGTACCTATGACAGGAATCTGGAGCTGGACAAGCCACTCCCACTGTGCCTATGTGTTTACCTGGCAAGAGCTGGCACAAGTCAGTCCCCTCACACTGGAGGGGTCAGTTGAGCTAGCACAGCAGAGCCAGTATGGAAAACTCTGTCCTCTTGCACTATTTCTTCAGTGTCCATTGTAGTAAATGCTTAACATTTTACCACCTTGCAAAAATAAGTAATTAAGGGACCCAAATTATTTTCTACCCATTTTTGTAGACAATGAAGAAAATAAGTTCAGTGCTGAAAGGAAGTAATAACAGTGATCACTGTTGCAGGTACTCATTTTGTTACTTAGTTCCTGTATTTATCTTTCTACAAAAATTTGAACTCTTGTACATCAACAAAACAACTTTTTATTTATGCCTGATAGAATCCTACCATTTATCTGGCAAATAAGGACATTTTTACTCTGTCTCTAGAATGAAGAAATGCAAGTCCTAACAGTCATTGTATCCATGGCTGATTATATTAGCTTTTCCTCACATTTAAATATTTTTTTTAAGATTTATTTATTTATGCATTCAGAACTGGGATACAGGCCATAGATTCAGGGGTGGTGAGAGGATTCACCAGAGTGAGGAGCAGAACAGGCCGACTGACGAAGTACACTGCTGAGCAGCAGACGGGCCAGGAGAGGTCTGCTGTGCCATGTGGGTCACCTCCAGGTCAGGGATCCAACTCATGCTGAAGTGGCTTTTGCTTCTTAGTGCTGTGCTTTAACCCACTGTGCCACCAGGGAGGGCCCTCCTCACATTTAAAGTTAATCACAGTTGCACTCACTATTCGGTTACCTAGATACTAAAGTTAACTTCCATCAACTTGTATATAAAAGAAAATAAAAATGGGGAGAGAGAAGGGAGAAAAATAGCACCATAAATGAGTGTGTGTGTGTGTGTGTGTGTAACAAGCAAATAGAAAATATTAAGAACTACTAAAGGCCTCTTTTTTATAAGTAGTCATAAAGCTATAACTGTAAGTATGGCTTCCTTCTTCTCTTCCCCCAGTCTTTATTCTCACTCCCAACTCCCTAGCCCAAACCTCATCTTTTTGTGGTTCTTAACCTAGTGAAGTTACTTAAATCTTCATTCCTGAAGGATCTCAGTT